GCTATGTGCGCCGCAGCCAGTAACGAGCGCCGCCGGCGCCATCCCGTTCGAATTTTGCGTCGCCCTTGCGGTCAAGCGCCTGATCAAAGTCCCCACAATATGCCAGATGCCGAGCCGCGAGCATTATCCAGATATTTCTCGACGGAGTGATGTTTGCACTTCGGTGTCAACGGGCAAGTCGTGCGTATCGATGGGGACCTTGAATGACGACATTTTAATTCCGGCGGCATTAGCCCTCGGCCGACCCATCGCGTGGCCGAATAGATCGCTACCCGGCCTTCGTAACAGGTTGGTTATACAATAGAGCTATGCTGTAGCGACTTATGCATGTGTATATACAGTTTTAGTCGCCTCCGGGGCACTCCAGGGCGCCATGGATGGCAAACCGGGCGAAAGGTGCACATTTCAATGTGGCCTTAGTGGGAACAAGGCACATTAAAAAGCCGCGGCGCACGGTTATGCAAAGCAAAGAAAGCCGTGGACGGCGCGTTGAAAAAGGTGCACAACATCATCAAACCCGTACGTACACCGTGCCCTATTACTGCTTGCGACACATTGCTCAATGAAATATATTTCACTACCCATGTAGTTGAGCGTCGATGAACACGCCGCCCTTAATCGAGCCGTAGCAGCGATGAGCGGTGACGCCGCCGAAGTTCTCATGCAGTACCCCTGGTTAGACCCCGAACCTGACTCCGGCTCCGACAAGGACGACCAACAGATATGATATGATGGCTTGACTCGCGAGAGTTCGCCGCCCGGGCACCCTCGCTCGCTCATCATTCTATCTTAGGACAGGGTCCCCGAGGAACGTATACCGCCCGTCTTGTCACGGACGAGCTGTTCACCGCCGGTGAACTACAGTCTAACATTTGGACGCATGAGATTGACCTCGGCGAGCTTCGGAAAGTTCTGATAGCGCCTCTTCTTGGTCGTCATGTTCACCCGCACCAGTGTAGGAACGCCGGCCGGTCCGATCGCGAGATGCACCGCTCACCACGCCTACATAACAGGAACTACATCTTAAGGTTGATACCAGACAGTCTGACACTCCTCTTGTCAACAATACTGTATCTACACCCTATCCAGTTTGTTCGCATGACTCTGCAGTGGACAATATATTCATACATTCCCTGATAAGTACGAGAATTCGTTGTGCTCTCCCCTAGATCAACACCGAAGGTTGAACCACCAGAGTGAACCTTCTGCGCTCGGTGCTCTATATGGTACGTATGGTGGATAGGGAAAACTCAAGGGCCGCGACCTCTCAGAGCACTCGCTATGCAGGGCTGCTGGTCCTGTGCAATCGCGTGCCGTCACCCGTGACCGTCACCTAGCCCCCTTCGCAGGCTTTATCAGTGATCGGGTTGGGAGGAACTCGATGTCCAAAATGAACTGATGACGACCGAGCTCGACTATAGCCTACTTGAAGAAGATTGGCTGGAGGCCTTGCTCGATGGCATAGATCCCGTTCCATCCCATCCCCACGTGTCGCACACGTTGAGAGAAGCGCTGGATGCCGGTCGTGGCCGACTTCAGACGGAGACTCGTGTATCTCGAGCGCACTGGGAGGCCCTAAGGGCTGAACGCAGAGCGGCGGAGGACGAATCTGACGCGCGACGCGAGGCAGCCTTGATAGCTGTAGAGGGGCCTGATATATAATGGGTCGTATCTCGTCGGTCCAAGTCAGAACGTCTCGCGCTGATGCTGAGGGATTCTTCTCGTATGCTTGTCACAATATTGTTCGTACATAATAATACATCCACTGACCAGCGCAACAGTACCTACAATAAATCCCCTCACATTCAGAGGTGCTCAAGACGAGGCGTTTCCAGCCGACATCAGAACGCTTGCCATCCATCGTCATATGCCTGTGCATGGATTCCAGGGTCCAGGGTAGTAACCTGACTTTGCGCATTCTGGTACGCCGGTCCCCAGTAGGACTGATGATCTTCGCCGCTGATCGGGCCATAGGTAGCACTATATTGTTGCTGTGGCACGTCGGGAAGTGCGGTAACGCCTTGCGGCACGACGGGTGAATGGGAGTAGGTCTGCGTGAGAGCGGCCATGTCCCAAGAGGGCGCATACATCATGTGGTTATAGTTCGAAGTTGAAGGCTGCGCTGCCGCCCATGAGCCGGGTTGCTCTTGCTGCGGAGGTTGCCCAGGGGCGTAGAAGGACGACGTTCCGTCAAACGCGTATGTGGGCGCTCGAAAAATGCTTTGCGCCGTCAGGCTTCGAAGGAACTGTACATGGTGCATCAAGCCGCTGCATGCGGAAGAGGATGCCGACGCCGTCTCGTATGCGTTTGCAGTCCGGTTGATGGCCTGTTGTATCTCAAACGCGGCGCTGGCGTGCATTAGCGTACGCGTGTCAGCCCGGCGTAGAAGCTACTGGGTTGTGAGGACACTAGCGAGGAACGCGGTTGATCGGATGTAGAACTTACGCGGACAAGAAAGGCTGCAGAGTACGCGTTCATCAGCGTCAGCGAGTCCTGACCATACCGCTACGAACAGGGTCAAGCTCGATCTATATGAGATCCTTCCTATCATCATACGCACCAGAACGTTCATCGGGGAGAATTCGCCGTACGCGATGCGTAAACTTTCGAGGGCGGATTCGTAGCACGTGGAGACGACAGTGTGCAAGATTGATGTATTCTGTATCACGTACGTCATTCTCTTGCGACATGACCATAATATAGGTACTCACGGCTGACAACGCACTCTTCAGGAAGTAAGAGTTGCTCAGGACGCGGACGTAAAGCCACATGCATCTGAGTAAAGACACGTGTACACGCGACCCGCCGGAACGCCTCATCTCGTCGTCCCAGTGGGTGATCCAGCTCATGAGCTCTGCGTTGCTACTTTGAAGGCGTTCCACGTCATCTGCCTGTGGCTGTGGGCTCGAGTTTACCGGTCCGAGACGGAGGTTCTCGGTGGTCTTAATCTGTACGACAGCGTGAAAAGACTGCACCTACAGAACATGGCAGGGATTAATTTACAAGTCTACAGCGGAGCTGAACCATGGAAGAGACGACTATGTCGCGAGGACGCAGGGATTCGTCGCTGCATTGTTCGTACCAGCGGTCTGCAGTGCGCACAAGTTCGTCCTAGAGGAGTGATTGAAGTCAGATATCCGAATATCGGTGACATCAAGAGCATGGTTACTTCAGGGAGCATCCACGGGCGGCCGGTATGCATAGCGAGCGAGCGATCGTGCACGAAGAGTACTAGGTAAGTACGCTCGCGGTTCCGGCGCTCACGACGTTGCAACTCAGTCTCATCATTTCCAGAAGGCTGTTTCTGCTTGGACCGATTCATCCCCATTTCGATTGCCATCCGGCAGGCCTAGAGCGCAACAGCCGCATAAGCCACTGGTCATTCGCAACGACAGAAGTGATCGCGCTCACATGGCCAATATATGTCCAGGTTCGCTGTGTGGGATAGGCGTGTTAGCGGTCAGATAAGATTGGAGGCCAAATGGCGTTACCGTGTGGCCCGGCTCTTCCCAGTAACACAGACATGCGAACGCTTGTACAATCTCGACCGACTTCCAATCCCCTGCCAAGGCATGTGCCGCAAGCTCTTGCGCCAATCCCTGACATTGATGAAAAGCCTCGGGCTTGAAGAACTTGCAGCTTGCCATGAGGAGGACGGTGAGCAGGAAGGGCGAGCGCGTGCGGACATAGTCGACGGTGTGTAATGCAGGATCAAAAAGGCAGATAAACTGATTGACGTGCACAAAGAATAATTCGAAAAGGACATGAACTGTCGCCTCGTCGATGATTCCTGCGCTCACGGGGTCCCTCGCGAGTACGGGCGGTGCCCAATTCGAAGGGTTGGTATCGAGTTCAAGGGATGTCTGACGCTTATACTCTTGTTTGATTAGCATTGCAGGCGTAATCAGCGGACCATTCTCGTCCTCCTCGTCTGATTGATCATCGAAGCGCAGACCGGCTGCTTGGGTGTCGTTGTCGGGAGAGTACGTATACGGCTTGAGAGTCGCTCCGTCAGCGACCCAGTGTGCGTTTCGATCCTTCAGGGCAGCGCCCTTGGCCTTATTCGTACCGAGACGTTTCTCCAGACGGCGGAGCATCTTGGAAGACTCCGACATCCTGTCAGATAGTATGCGTCAGGGCGTCTTATATTGCCCCACAATATATAACTCACATCGAGCCGGGCTTTCGTCCACGACGATGCTGCTCGAAGACGCAGCTGTAGCGCATTAGCGATGATCGATGCTAGCCTCGGCGTCGGGACGAACCTGGACTTCTGCCTCGCACACCTATCGCAAGGTTTCCCGCTCTTGATGTCCGCTCCGACACACTTCATCTAAATGAAAGGATCAGGGACCCGCACGGAGAAATGTAGGGCGAGACTGTACCTTCACCGCGCGACAGCCAGTGCACGCTCGTGTCCCTTTGACCATCGTTGTTTGCCTTCAAGGCGTGAACGCTGACTCGCACGACGTGGGCAAGGGGTACGTACTGTTCCTCCTTGTTCGGATCCTGTGACATGCTGGATATATTGCTCATGGGGGTGCGAGGGCAAGATCTACATAAGCCCATGCGCGTCTCCTTAGGCCCGATGTCATCGCATCCTCACCCACAGCAGTCCACGCGAGTCCATCTAGATTGTGGGCGAAGGGAACAGTATCGCCTTTTTGGGTAGGTGGCATGCGATGCATCAGGGGAGAGTTCGGAAGAGACTTTCCGAGATTTACAGTACGTTCGAACTATAGATCATGGTCAGTAAGCGTTTGCACCGCATATCTCCAGATAACTTTACCCAGTGGTGTCTGTTCTGAGGGCTCCTATCGGTGATAAAGACAGACTCCTAGTCCATTTACAAGCGTATTCCTGGCCTCGTAGGAATTGCGTACGCCTGGCGGTCTGCGCGTTTCACCGATGGCCCCGCACACCCGACGGTCATCCTCGCTCCGAAGGTTCGTAAGCCTTCGCCAACTCATTTGGGAGTTCTCGGTCAGATAAGCTCGGAATGTCAGTGGCAATGGTATATCCGCGGGACAGTGCGCGCCGGTTGAACGTCTCCGTGCTGGCTATGATGACTCGTACGGCAGCCATGCCTAAACGTGGTCTGGCGGCAGCAGGCCTCTCGAATCCAGCCATCCGGCTGTACACAGATTGAAGCATTGTTTTCCCGAGAACACCGAAGGAACGAGGCAGAGAGGATGGCAAATCGCGCAAACTGGGTGCAGTTCGGTTCGAGGATCTCCGGCCACGCACTCGCCGAATGCCCCGAAATGCTTCAACTTGTCATGGCCGCCGCCATGGCGTGGCTTCTCTGGCGAACCGGTACCGGTAAATGTCGAGATTGCAGAGCGCGCATCCACGGGCTGGTCAAAGGTCCGACGTGGACGGATGGCGCGTATGATAGATCTTATCACAGAACATAGCATAGGCGTCGATGGACGTAGCCTACGTCAGGTCTGGCCACGGAGTTTAGCCGTCGAGTCCGGCGCCTTCAACGGCAAGAAAGGTTGGGCGGCCCTGTTGAGCCACCGAGGGTGCGAGGAAGGGGCGAGAGTCTACAAGTAGGTTTGCTCAGTGAACCATCCGTAGAGTCCCAGTTGGGTGCAATGGGACCTCGCGCGCGAGTAATGGAAGTATGGTCGTGGATATGTAAATCGAAGCAGCCGGGCGCTTCCGGCGTCGGCGGGCGGCGGCCTGCGGCGGCGCGTCGCTCCTCTCACGCCGACTACGACGACGTTCAGGGCGAGCGATCCCCTCTATTTCTTGCTAGAGGAGACGAGAACTTGTTCTATGTCCGCATAGGGCTGTTTCAATGCAACTGCTCTCCATCTATACGTCTGAAGCCCTCCTGCGACTTTGCACATTCCGACTGAAGACCCTGCCGGAGAAGCTCCACGACGGCGACCAGATTCGGATTATTTCACTGTTTGGGCGCTTCCAATGTCGTTGCATGCATGCGATCGTCTCCTCCGTAAAACGACTGCTGGTGTGTCGAGACAAGGACACGCGCCTTTACGCGCCGCTGGAGAAGATGGATATGACGTATGGGCGGTCATCTGGAGACAGAGAAGGTCACTCACGCGATGAGACCGTGCTTCGCTAACAGACGTCTCGAAGGAGCAAATAGACTGTACTGGTCATCCTTGTAGCACGCGCTACTATACGAGTTCTTTCTTGCATAGAAACAGACTGCCGCGCGCGCTGAGGACGACAGGAGAAGGGCAGACAGCCTGATGATCGAACGCGTCGAGGTCCAGCTGCTGTGGGGCGGCGCTCATGTCAGCGGCTTTCGCTCGCCCTCAAAAACCCGTCGCAACCGCCCTCCGAAATCGGCCAGCGTACCCTTCTCCCCGCCATCATCTTCAAGAAGAAGCAAGTCCATCGGAATATCGTCGCGTCTGTTGCTGCCCGCACCACGCGGTCATGCTGCCCTTCTTATCCTCTCTCGACAAGAGTCTTCTCTTCGGCGCATGGCTCGGCGCGTATGACCAAGTGCAGCGCATCTTCTCGCCTGCAGTGCCGCACACGGCAGCAGAATCTGCTCAAGTCACGGGTAAGTGTGTCCGCGTTCGAGCCCTGGTACCATGTACAATACCCGAGCACGACCCGACTCCTGCATGCCCATCGGCCCGACGTGCTATCTGTGCTTCTCGGTGTGCTTCTCGGGCTTCCTCGTGCTCGACGTGCCGCATCTGTCTCTGGCTATATTGGCCATATGGATCGCTATAAGTAAGAAGCCCGAGCTCTGAGAGAGGTTTTTGAGCGTCCAACATGCGGCGATTTTTGCCGGGCGCGGCTGCTGTTGTCGGGCTACTATGCTCACCCGTCTTCGGCGCAGATTTTGTCCAACTAAACCTCACATCTTACTTCAATGCTAAGGCCGCGGCGACCAGCGCCGCCAATGCCAACTTCGATGGTTCGGGGCGAGCGTATCCAGCAGAGCTATTGCCGTCAGCGAGCTCCTTCAACTACTCCGGTCTTGAGGTACGCTGGCATCTCAGTACCTTCAGTGTACAACTTCTCAAATATCCACTAGTACATCCTTCCTCCGTTCCAAGACCCATCAGCCAATGATGCGATCAAAGCGTCGGGTCAAACCATCGATATCCCCGAGCCGCAGCTCTTCCAGTCGTTCAACACCCTCGCGATCTCATTCCCCGGTGTCGACGCTGGCAACTTGACCGTCAACTTCGACGACGGCACTTCGACGGAAGTGAGCATCATCATCGCTCCATGGTACTCCCAGGGAAGCATGTTTGATGGACCCATCTGGGTGTAAGCCTTCCGCTATACTCATACTCAACCGAGTCGGACGTTGACCTCTTCCTAGGCCGTGGCACTACGCGAACCCACAGCTCGACTCAAACCTTACCAGGGATTACAATCGTACTCACATACAGGTCGGTATCAGACTCACCTCTGATGAACTTCTTCGCTAAACCGGAGATCAGTTCGCTACCGTCAGCCTGCCGTCGGACAAGAACATTACCTCCATAGGCTTGCCTTCTTCGGACGCCCAACAGGCATTCTTCGCGATCACCCTCGTCCCTGCTGTGCCCGAGATTATTGCTCCCGCGCTCAGCATCCAGAATGTGCGCTCGACGACCAAGTGGCTCAATGAAGGCGCAACAGGCGACGACCGTATACAGATCGTGGAGGTATGTTGCTAGCTCATGCGCTTACTGGCGAGGCTCAACTCTACCAAAGGTCACTATCAACAATCTCGCACGGCTCAACGCTTCGCTCGACGCCTGGATCACTTCGAAGACGTCTGTATCACTGTCGTCTTCATCATTGACCACTGTCACCCCCGGAACTTTCGTCCGCCTTCGCCCGGACGACCAGATCGTTGTCAATGTTGGCGTTCAGAATGCTGCTGGTATCGCTGCGGGTACATCTTCGACAGCAACTGTGACCATCTCAGATGCGAACGGGACAAGTCTTGCTGTGGCTCGTGCAACGGAGCCGTGGTCCGTCACCGCAGGCATACCGGACTGGCAGAACACAGACGACAGCCTCATGACGCACGAGTCTCCGGAATGGGCAAGTTTCTCCGCTGCATAGCATCTGACGCGAGCGCTCACACGTAATCTCAGTATGACGACGCCAAGTTCGGTATCTTCGTGAGTTCTGGCCGTCACTATGTTGCCCCGCAACGTCTGACTTGAGCGCTAGATACATTGGGGAGTCTTCAGCGTCCCGGCCTGGGCACCCTCCGGCGAGCAATACGCCGAATGGTATGACTGGTGGCTACACAACCCTCCGAACAACAGCTCGGCTATCTGGGAGCATCACCTTGAGACCTACGGACCTGATGTTGTTTACGATGATTTCATCGCAAACTTTACCGCAGAAGGGTATGTGGCTTCGTTCATCGGCTTGGTACAAACTAAACTCGCGTCTTCAGCTGGAGCCCCGACGACTGGATCGACCTCATTGCGGATGCCGGGGCGAAGTACTTCGTCATAGTCACCAAGCACCATGACGGGTTTGCTCTTGTGAGTTATCTTGTGGGTTGCAGTGCTCGGTTACTGAACGGTTGCACAGTTTGACACCAAAAACACCAGCAACCGCAACTCCTTACTCCTCGGACCCAAGCGCGACATCATCCAAGATGTTATGACCAGCGCTAAAACGCGCGCCCCGCAACTGCGCCGCGGCGTGAGTCCTCACTCCTTGTTCTCACCATGCCTAAAACTGACTTACGGCCAGACCTACTTCTCCCTCCCAGAATGGTGAGCATACCGGAGTCTCGATTGTGCAGCGATTGACCACGCAAACAGGTTCAACCCTGACTATGGACCCTACGGACACGGACAATGGCCTGGCCACCCAGCTCTCAATGCATTCAACGGGTCGTGCTGCGATCCTTTCATCGGTTACGTTCATGTGGATGACTACATCACGGACTGTGCGTAACTCACGGACTGCTGCGGCAGGATGCTGACATGCTTGATAGTGCAAGGTCCCCAGATGGAGATTCTGTTCACAGATCCGCGCTATGAGGTATATTCGACCCTTCAGAGATAAGTATACCGTATGCTGAAGTGCTGCAGACTGACATACTCTGGTGTGACATCGGTTACGCGAGTGCATTCCCCAGCATCGGTACGTTGTGTATCAACTCCCTGTATCTGGTGAAGTACTTACACCCGATGTAGGTGGTACTTGGTACAACTATGCTGCCGGTCAAGGTCGACAGGTTACGCGCGACGACCGATGCGGTTCGAATATGACCGACTTCGTGACGCCAGAGTACGCAACATACCCGGCCACCCTTTCTCAGAAGTGGGAGACCACCGAGGGTATCGACCCCTTCAGCTTCGGCTACAACCAGGATACGTGCGTTATCATGAGACATGTCTGCTGGTGAACCGGACTAACGAGCGACCGTCAGGCCTCCATCTGGATATCAGTCCACCGAAGAGCTGATTCCCAAATTCATAGAGTACGTCCAATGTCCACTTCTTCGGCACAGCGCTAACTTCTCGTCAGTATCGTATCCAAAGGCGGCAATTACCTACTTGAGTATGGTTTACTTCTGACGCCTCCCGTTCAGTGCTAACGGTTACTCTTTAGCATCGGTCCGACCGCCAATGGCAGCGTTGTACCGGAGATGACCCAACCCCTTCTTGCAATGGGAAAGTGGCTGAACTCATCTGGCGCTGCTATATACGGCACGCGCCCCTGGTGGATCGCCAACGCAGACCAGTCAGACGGCCACACCAACGTGCGCTTCACGACTACACTGGACGCCTTCTACATTATCGCCCTCACTGAACCTTCGGACGGCGCACTCACGACACCCGCTCCGGTACCCATCGTTGCGAATGACACAGTCACGATGCTCGGCGGAACCGGCAAAGCCTTGAACTGGACGGTCACTGACGGCGTCTTCAGTATCGAAGTGGATAGCGACGAGCTCTCCATGGTCCAATACGCGTGGGCCTTCCAGGTTGCGTATTCGCAGTAGCGGCGTTCTCTCTGAGTTGGGCTTGGGTTCTACTGCTTGCAACAATCTTGTACACTGTATCATATCGCGGACAATTCCGGCTATCTGCACCTTCCACAACTGAACTATGTCGTGAAGGGGATTGCCGTCACAGCTACGCCCGTGGAGCCACAATTGAGAGAATGGGCGGTCCGCACTCCCCATGCCTCGCACATAGAGGCGCGTGAGCAACCTCCTGACGTCCCGCAATAAGGGACAACCAGTGACGCTGAGAGCGAAACGGTCAGGTTGGGTCAACACGGGTAATGCCGCGCGCCTATCGTGAGGCTGATCTTCCTTCTGCTTCGATCCCGGCAAGAAGTGGCGCAAGTAGACAGCTTCTTCAACTTTGCGACGCGCTAATCCGTACCCCCCTGCGTCAGCTGGCTTCGCCTCGCAGCGCATACAGCCCTTGGCATATCCCTTCTCCCGAACATACAAAAAGCTGTATCTTCACGGGTGACGATACACCTCTTCCTACCCATCATGATGGACGAGACCAATATACAGGCGTTGCCTCGCCTCGACGAGAAGAAACAAGAAGAAACCAGTATCGACGGCGAGTTCGAGCACGTTGAGAACCGGTCCAACACCTCTGCCTCTCCCGTTGATGACGAGGGCGACAACGGGCTTCTTGGCGAGAGGCGCGCCGCAGCAGAGCGCCGACTGGTCCGCAAGCTCGATGCGCGCCTACTTCCGACTATTGGTGCGCCATCACATATCACTGATCGTACTGCTACTCATTGACTATCACAGTCCTTGTCTTCATTCTCAACTATATCGATCGTACGGCAGTGACGTCTGCAAGGCTGAAGGGACTGGAACAGGATCTTGGGCTCAGTGGTGAGTGCATCGTGTCACCAGGATCAAACACGGCATCGCTCAGACGCCTGTGTCTTCAGATATCCAGTACAATACCATACTGGCTATTCTCTACGCTTCATACTGCCCCGCGCAGATTCCATCTAACATGGTCAGTGTACTATCATGATTCGCCGGCGAACTCTTCTGAAGCGCACTCATGTCAGATCTTGAACAGAATAACCAGGTGCGGAACTCCGTCTGTCTCTTACCGTGCGATGACTTCTTTGCTGAACCAAGGATTCTCCCAGACCCTCGCTATACATAGGATGCTGTGTGGTCATCTGGGGTCTAACAAGTACACTCACTGGTGTCACGCACAACTTCGTAGGAATACTGCTCTGCCGGACTTTCATTGGCCTTCCCGAAGTATGTGCGCTTTCACTCTGTGCCTTGTACCAAAGAATTGGTACTCACTCTATCTGCAGGCTGCCTTCTATCCTGGCGCTATCTATCTGCTCTCGCGCTGGTACACCCGACGCGAGCTGGCCTTTCGAAGCGCAATCTTATACGGAGGACTTCTCATCTCCAATGCGTTTGGCAGTTTGATGGCCGCGGGCATCTTGAGCAACATGGAGGGAACCCTCGGCATTCGAGCTTGGAGGTCCGTACGAGACACAGACATGCATTTCCCTCTTCTCTACTAACTTTCTTGGCGATTCAAATAGGTGGCTCTTCTATATTGAGGTACGCATGCTCCGCCGTCGCATTCGCGCTACTCCAATCTCAAGCTGCTATCATCCAGGGAGCCATCACCATGTTTGTGGGCTTCCTAACCATTTACCTTCTTCCAGACTACCCGCACAACACCCGCTGGCTATCACCAGCTGAGCGCCGGCTAGCCCAGGTTCGCCTGGCCGAAGATGCAGGAGAGGCGGACGAGGATACCAGCACCGATACGTACGCACCGTGCTTCTGTCTACTCTACCTTCAATGCTTACAATCAGGACCGCTGACGCAGAGCATGGAGTGGGCTCGTGCTTGCTGTGAAAGACCCAAAGGTTCTCATCATGGCCGTCATGACATGCGCGCAGCTCCTGGGGCTGAGGTGAATGCCCCCTAGATACTTCGGACCACGTCGCTCACAGGTGGTATAGCTTCGTCCAGTTCTTCCCGACACTGTCGGCTACGCTGGGCTTCAACACAACCATATCCCTTCTTCTTGCCGCGTAAGTTGTACAAAATAGGTGGTCAGTTCTGTACTGATGACAATGCAAAGGCCGCCTTGGATCCTATCCACAATCGTCACCATGATCAGCGCGTATCACGCAGATCGCACGGGAGAACGTTACTTCCACCTCGCCGTGCCGTGGTGGGGCGTCATTGTCGGGTACATCATTGGCCTAAGCACGATGGCTACCGGCGGACGCTATGTGTCTCTGTTTCTCATGGCTTGCGGGTACGTGTCTGTGTACTAGTATGCATGAGCATCGTCTCAACTGACTTTGCGGACAGGTATGCCGGTTTCGCGCTCACTGCTGTGTGGGTTAGCAATGCGGTCCCACGACCGCCTGCCAAACGCGCGGCTGCCATCGGCATCGTCAATGGATTCGGGAACATCGGAAACCTCATAGGCTCCTTCACCTGGAAAGCCGAGTGGGGGCCGGATTACCATCCATCTATGTGGATCAGCTTAGGTGCCCTGATCTTAACCTCCGTACTAGGTCTAGGTGAGCTGAATATAGCGCACGCGAATGAACTCGGCTGATGGGTTTCTGGCATACCAGTCGTCCGCTACATGCTTATAGCTGAGAATCGTCAGCTCGAACGAGAGGAACTAGCAGATCCTGCTACCCGTGAGCGTATCGAAGATGCCGCTCGCCTGGAAGGGATCACCGTACAAGAAGCTCTGGCGAGGAAGAGAGGGTTCAGATACCTATACTGATCACTCGTGGTAGTCGGCAACCTCTGTAACACAATTCTTGAATATCATATACATCGCGTGGTTCGGACCGGTCATCCGAGGCATCGGGCCTTTACAAGCGCACCGGGGCCGCAACTCCGAGTTTTCCCGCAACGTCGAGTACGGTTGCCGTCGTCTTTCATGGCCCCGTTGAGATCTTATTTGGTATCGCCTAGCCAGACGGTCAAAGATACTAATGGGTGCCGCTCCGACACCGAATTCGTACTACCCAGTGGATGCCATACCGTACGCTAGTTTCCACTGCTGATCTCGCGATTCACGCTATATAAGTAGGCACGGTACTGGCACCCGGAGTACAAAGCCTTCGCTCCGCATAGACAGATGCTCGGTACTCCCAGCTGCTCAGTCAGTCCTCCGTCGATACAGCGTGTACGCCTCTTTCCCGAAGTTCATCAGTTGCTCACGTTGTTCCTCTGGTCTCAATTGAAAGCTAGTCACTCATGTGCCCGATACGCACAGCCCTGGTCTTGCGCAGGTCGAGTATTCCGAGAAAACAGTCACCTGATATGGTCAGGAACAAAAGATAGTAGGCTGTGTCGGCGCTTCTTCGCATGTACTTATAAGTGTGGGTGGAAACTTGCTTGAAGGTTTCAACTCCTAGCGCTCGCATTCACCCCCAACGATGCGTTTCAGACTCGAGCGCCGTGCCGTCTTCCAAATCGATTACATCGATATTCACTCCGGACACTCAGAATACACTGTGACCACTCGCCCTGCGACACGATCCACGACGCTGGAGATAGTGAAGCATGCCGGTAGGCGATCGGAAGAGATCGCCAGCGTTTGCTTTCGCGAGCTATTCCCGGACACGATTGAGCTGCGGGATATCAAGCTTGCAACTACCGTACTATCTTCGAGCCATACAGAAGGGCAGTATTCAGAGGTTGTTGGGGAACGCACGAAGATCAAGGCAAAGGAATACGCGCACAAAGAGGGAAAGAAGTCCGTGAGCACTTGTGGCTGTGGTTCTAGATTGCTACAATGATGTTGTCGTTTTAGTACGTGGACCATACACACACCTGCTGCAGCAGTGTATACTTGGACTGCTGACGGTAGAGAGTTGATTGTACGCATTCCCTTCGCGGATGTCATCCAGATATTGACGAACGGAAGTAGCTTCGCTCTGAAGATGATGTGGAGATCGCTTACATCCGTCCCCCGCGGCATGAGGACGACCCGGGAACCGGATTCGCTACTGTATTTCATATCGACGACAACGTGCTTGAGGACATAGACCAGATCGTTGTTAGCGGTGTTTACCTGAAGTACAAGGTAGATCATACTGGATCTGCTCCATCTGGTACGATTACCGTGACACGCGTAGCGTGAACCCGTACTGACAGACGAATAGTTGAGAACAAGTACATGCCGCCGGCAGCAATATCTCCTTCGGGGTGGTTGCAATAAAGTTCACTCATATCCATTTCTTGTCTATTCCTGGTCGCTGTAGCTTCATGTCAGATAAGAACCTTTTGCATCGAACTTGTTTACGCACTACCACACCCTCCCGGCCGGAATACCTCCTTCAATCATGACACGTTATGCATCTAGTCATTCTCAATCTCGCTCTCGCTCTCGCTATCACTCTCACTGGAGGGAAGAGGGCCAGCGCGGTTGTCACGAGAGCGCAGCTGAATGTCATAAGGGACATCCACAGATGGGCCCGTCCGGGACGCCATCGCGTGCTCGAGAACTTCCGCCAATGTAAGCGCAGGGCGCGTCTTGACCTCAGCATAAGGTATGAGTCGGGCATACGCCTCGTGTATGTCAAGACGTTGACGGCCAAGAGGTAGCGTGTCTTCCTCGCGCTGCAGCATGGATGGCTCGCGAAACGGACCTGGCTGATCATACGCTGAGACCAGACTTTGACCGGTGCTCACCACAATGATCAAGCATTTAACCTTGAGAGCCGCACGAAGGATGCCGTGCCATCTGAAAGCCCGTAGTCGAAGTGTGGAGACGTCCAGACAGAGTTCTTGAACGTGCACGAGCGGCGCCTGCCCGAGTATGTGAATGATGAGATTGGCTATCCATGCGCCTCCCGGTACATCTTCGTACTCATCGCGGAATCCGCCCCATGCAAGATCAAATTTGAACTGGGAACGGCGAACAAAACCAGAGTGTTCGCTCAGACCTTCAAGGTAGACGGACTTCTCGTTCTTCTGGAAGGTCAAAGACAGTGGCCCCGTCGAATGGAGACTGCTAAGGGATATGAGTCCTTCTGGGTCCATTGTGCCACTGTATTCCGCCTCCGTAAAGGTCGCCGCTGTACTCAGCGTGAGGTGCGAGAGGAAGGGAGCACGCAGTAACATGAGGAAGGTGCCGCAGTCCTGCTCTCCGTCAAAATGATGAAGAGTGAGGGTACGTAATGACGGCAAATCCACCGGCAGAGCTGGGGGCAAAGAGCCACCTTTGTACGGCAGAGCGTTGATCAGAGTAAGCTCTTGAAGCGAGATGCAGTAAATCATGAGACGATGGTATTCATCCCACCGAGGCGTTTCAATTGGAAGATACCATCGCACGCCCCCTCCGGGAGCGTACTTGCCAGTAAAATCAAGATACAGAACGGTGACGTTCTCGAGAATGCTCGATGAAGGTGTCGTGAAAAAGTAGCTGATGCCGAGGGCACGAAGCCGAGGGACATCGACGGGGAAGGGCACATTCCGGATCCTATTAGGGATACGGCGGTCATTGCGGTATGCTCTCATGAGGTGGAGCTCCTCAAGTAGGGGTAGCTGAATGGTCAAAAAGCAGTCTTTGAGAATTTGGACGACATTGGGATCCAACCCGAGCTTCAAGGATCTCAACCTGTGCGAGCTATGACCCAACGTTTCTCGTACGAGCTGAATATCAGCGGGTCTAGTAAAGCCGTCGAGCTTCTGCTCCACGTAGATAGGCGCGCTCCGAGAGTGTCTGAGAAACACTCGGGACAAGGCGGGACCAGCGTCTAAAGGAATCGATATCCAGAGGATTGGCGCCTCCAGAGCGATCGATCTCCAGTAGCGACAGAAATGGGTCAATATCGTCCAACCGAACCTCGTGGGACCAGATGCACGCTTGAGCGGAGGTCCCAGTACATTGATAGCACATATGAGGATCGATAGTACGACGTCGATTGGGATGGAATAGACAGGCTTCATCGCGTTCTGAGCGGCAGAATGCTGTTGTGATGCGGGATAAACACATTCCATATTGAGTTATTGAGCGCGCGGCGCTTGGGCAGTACGCAAGGGATGGGAACGCGTAGGTGGTGGCCGTAGCAAGTCAAGAGCATCGCGAGCGAATACGCGGCAGCTCTGGGATTACCCACGCTTAATTTCGGCGATTTCAAGACTTGACCTTCTTCCACCACCAACGCCTATACTCTCATCATGTCGCGCGGTGGACGTGGCGGCGGCCGCGGCGGCTTTGGCGGTAACAACCCACCGCCAATGGGCCTGACGTTCCAGGATATACAGGCGCTCAATCGAGAGGAGGATGCGCTCTATCCAGTACGTACCATGGCGTCCATATCCTTCATGTCATCCACCTCATAGTCGCTTTCAGTACTCTGAATGACATCTCTAGCCTATGGAAAATGTCCCGACATTGAGCTCGTACACTGCTGCAGAACGACGCATCTGCGAGATACAGAGCACTTTCACTGAACGACTTCGCAAAAGCGCGTACTGGGTCGTCGAGCCGCGAAAGGCGAGCGGTATGTTTACATGTCCATCATCCTGGGCCATTGCAGACTAACTTATATTGTTATAGATCTTGAGCACTATTCGGACCGACATCGACCTGAGCTCGCCGCGCAACCGACGCTCAAACGCAAAGAGTTGCATGAGCCATTCTTCCCTCCAGACGTGTTCGAGGGCTACTTCAATCCGAAAAGACGGAGATGTGCGTGTAGATGTCTTTTCGATGCGATATACGCTAATGAAGTCATGCAGTGGCGAAGCGCGCGGCGGCAAAGAAGGTCAACATCGACGAGCTAGCATCCGATGCGGAAGGCGTACGTGCTCCGAGTACCTCTCGCATCATTAACTTACCCTTACGCGATTTTCTCAGGATGATGACAAGTCGGGAGACGAGCGCTCAGAAGCGGGCTCGGGCGTCGAAGAGGAGGATTACGACGTCGACGAGGAGGACGACAACGACTATGCCGAGAACTACTTTGATAACGGCGAAGGCGACGATGATGACGGGCTGGGAGACGGTCTACGAGATGAAGGAGGTAAGCATCAGCTTCGAGTAACTCGGAAACAGTCCTCATATCGCGCGTTACAGGTGGAGACTACGACTAGCTTTGCATATTACTGTCTAACCTTCCGCCTTGGGCTCTTCAAACGTGTATACTTATGCTCCATGTTTCATTCCATGTGTGGCTTGCCCTGTTCGTGTCAAGCATCCGTCAATGCGTGGTCCAGAACCTGTCAGCCTCGCCCTAGACTGTTCAACGATTGCATGCCGACTCGAAACGCTGACTTGAACGACGGCGCTACGCCCGCACTGTTCAACAACATGCATACCTCTCGAAAATATATAAACCCTTGGCTTCCCGGTCCGCAATCCCTCTAATCTCCGCCTCGTTTCCTGTCTCCGTCTCCCTTCCCGGTCCACTCCAGCGCACCCTCTTCCCCTGCCCGCCGCTCGCTTAGACGCTCACACTCCTTTCTTTCCTGCCCTAAGCGCATCCGCCGATCCAGATGAAACTCCTCTCCGCATCCCTTTTCGCCGCGCTCGCCAGTACAGCCCGCGCTTGCGAAGGCGCATGCATTGTTGGTGTAACGGACGTCTGGCTCAGCAACTACACGGCCGTTGTGCAGAACGTCTTCGACCAGACTGTGCGTCATTCTCACCCTCTGCTGTATGGGTGCGACGCTGACCTTCACTTTCGCTGGCAGTCAAAGGCAATTGCCGAGCGCCTCGTCCCGAATCACGCGGGCGACGCGAGTAGTTATCTGCGTCCGCTGGCGGAGCAGTATAACAACGCGTCGTACGACGGAATGGAGAAAGCCATCTTCCCGAGCTACTTCCACGGTACTGTCCTCATCACCTCTTCCTTAGCTCGCTTACTCACACGCGTCTCGCAGGCAAGTGCCAACAAGATGGCGTCGAGCCCGAGGGATGCCCAAACCCCGACTGCCCCGTTGTCTGCGGCACGCCGGGCTCGCTCGTGCACTTCTACAGCACGCTCCGCTTTATCGCCTTCAACCAGACCCGCACCCTGCTGCAGGACATCATGTCCCCCGGCAGCCCCGGCTACCAGCAGCTAGAAGACGCCGTCATCCGCGATGCCTCAGCTTCTGGCACCACCCGTCGTACTATGAACGTCGCACCGCCCCGCAACTCTACTCGCAGTCCGACCAAGAAGGGCTCCAAGAAGACTGCGAAGGCTACCACGACGGCTACGGCGCTTCCGATGTCAATGCCAAGCGCCGAAAGCCCTGTTCGCCGCATGATGGGCAAGATGGTCTCATGGCGCCCCCGCCGTCGCGAGGGTCTCGGTGCCGGCGCTGCTGCTGGTACCACCGTCGCCGAATGGAGCAACGAGGACGAGCCACAGCTCTCCGCGCGTCCTCAGGAGAATGCGATGCCTGGCGGTAGCCACGACTATGAGTCACACCCGTCGCATGAAGGCCTCGACGAGCTCAACGTCAAGATGCACGAGCTCGAACATCCTGAGGCTCGCGCCGCGCATGACAAGGACTCGCACAAGAAGCATGGCAAGGGCGGACACGAGTCTTCTTCCGCTTCCTACGGCGCTTCGACCACCGCTACGACTACCGCGTTGTACGCCGCCTCCGCGCCCACTGCCTACGACGACAGTTCCTACGCGCCCATGCCCGCCTATGCCGCATCACCTTACGGCGCTCGTCGTGCAATTGTAGCAAGAGACAACGCCCGCCGCGCAGGTGCCAGCGCGGACGACGTGCGTACGGCGCTACAGGAGATCATGAAGGACGTGCCGGAGCGCCTCGCGACCATCTGCGGTGGTACGCCCGAGGATTCGTCGAACGGGTTGCCGTCGTGCAGCTGGGAGGAGGCGATGAAGCCGTACATCTTGACTTGGCCTTAAGGGAGTTGTCCGCTGGCGGACTATCATTGCGCTGTATTGGGATATTGGGACATGGACTGGACTCTGACATTGCTACTACGGACAGTTGTTCTGTTTACTGACATCGCTATATACCCTCCCTACTTGGTTATGAGCTATTGTTCTTTCGTGGACTTGCAACGTGCGATGAGCCCAGATGAGGAAGTGTGCTTGCGTGCAAAGAGCACTATGTATACGAAGAGTGGGGCGCGAGCGCGGGTATCAAGAATCGCTAGTGGATGAGATGACCCAGATGGGCAGCGGTCGACCATGCATGTCGTCGAAATGGCCCGGCTTGTCCTCATTGAGTGTCTTCCAGCCTTGACGTTCATAGAAGGTGAGCTATACACAACGCGCATGAGCAACCTGACACATCGACGTCGTCAGCAACCAAAGACGTACGTTGTCCTTGTTACCAGTCTCTACTGTCAAAGGCTCATCGTTCGCTTCGGCCTACAATCACACAACTGAGCTCGTGCACCACGAGATGGTTCACGTCTGCGCGCACCTTCTTGATTACAGCCTGTACGAGCGCCGATGCAAGACCGCGTCGACGTGCGTCCGGCAATGTCCCGATGGTCATCAAGTTCCACGCCTTTTCTTTACCGCCTTCTCCGAGGACTTCGTCCGTGGCAGCTTCGTACTGTGGAAGGAACTGGGGAAGAATGGTCGGCATGGTGTGAGATGCATGAATAATGAACATCGAGTACATACAGTGTCCAACCACCAGCGCTTGAGCTCGGGCTGAAGAGAGTCCAAGAAGCTACCAAAGATGGCCTGCTGGTCTGGACTGCGAGGTATTGATTAGCAGTCATTCTATGATATCAAGCACTTGGGTGCGACGTACGTGTCAAGAAGTACCCTTCCAGGAGGTAACCAAGTCGCGGCCGAGACAAAGTCCTGGTCCCCGTAGCTCGCGACCCAAAGTTGCCCGGAAATCGCCACACAGGCGACCGTCGCGCGCTCAAGAGCGTACAGAAGCGACTCCGACTCGTCGCCACCAGTCATGGCCAGAGCCACTGGATCCCCCCTGAAAGCGACTGTGAATACCTTCGCGATGTTGTCTAAGTCTTCTTCTATTGCAAGCTTTCGTAAGTACGTATCCAAGAGTTGCAGGACGGAAAGATGGGCGAACCGGTACAGGTATCTAGCTTGCGTACGCTGATTGCGGGCATTGCGGTTTGAATGAGCGTCAAACGCTGACAGGGCCGTAAGGCCATATAGTTTCGTTATGGGAGAGACGAGGGCGAGCATCATATGAGGTGCTCTCGGCGACTCGGATGCTTCCATGAGCTACTGTCGGTGATGTCGGTGTTTCAACTCACTGAACCTTAGTCCTATAAGTAGACAAGCGTAGCATATCAAGCGCAGAGTAATATCATTGTATATGTTATAGAGGAAGCGAAGGGATATCTTGAGTAAGGTAGTGGCGATTTCGTCGAAGGCGCCGCGCGGTGCAGCCCGCCCGCGACTCGGGTCGGCCCGGTATCCGGTGCACTAAACGCGACCACGTGCATGGAACGTGGCTAAGTGTGGTTGATCGCGGCCTCCTCAGCTCGCGCCTTCTTCTCAACCTCAACCATCGACCTCATTCCTGACTCGATCAACCACCTACACGTGCATCGATTCGAAGCAACCACCGGCGATTGCGAGTGCTTTATAACCTTGAGCCACCGTTAGTTGCTTCTTGCGTCTTGCCCTCACCACGGTTTCTTGCTCACCATGACCGCTGCCCAGAAACACACTTCCACCCATCCCGCGGTGCCTCCGGAACGACGCACCAACGCTCACGTCAAAGTGGGGTCGAAAACTACACCAAAGCGCTACGCACGCTCTGGCGTCGGACCATTCAGTCTCTGTAATCGCCTCACAGCCAAGCAAGCCTACGACCAGCTCTCCGTAGACATGAAGGATGTCTTCAGCGGCTCTATGCCATACGCGCTGTTCTTGAACAAATTTCATCCTGCTCGCTCCGACCGACCTCCCTTGCCCAAGCTCAACTTCACGGTCATGTTGCGCCGCGAGTTGGGAGAGACGACTGGCGGATATCAACAAGGCAGAGATACTGTCTCCGATGTCGTATGTTCTCATTCGTGGTTCCTGATTGTTCTCACCGACTAATTTTTGTTAGTGTCGCGCTATCAATGTCAGCGGGGTCTGCCCGTCTATTGAGTTTATCAGCACCGAGAACGTTTACATCAATATGGACGGGAGTCTAGCTGAGGGAGACCCTCGCGATAAATTGAAGGTAGACGCTAGCGGCATGGCCAAGGCTTCCAACTCTCAGTCTCAGCACTCAAACGACGGCCAATCCTCCGTGATCATCACCCCCAAGTGGGAGCGCATGCGTGTTACGATGGAGTTCAAGCTTTTGGCGGAGGATGTCGTGGTGGACCCAGATACGGAGGTGGAAGAGGCTGAGAGAAAACTACAGGTATGGCCGAATTCATTCACTTAGGACTGAGCGCTTGACTCACCTTTACCAGGGTGTCGTTCATCAAACTGAGAGAGCTCACCTTGCTCGCGGCCAGGCGTCAACCTATGTCCTCCACCAGTTCGGTCGTCAGTCTCGCACCTCTGTTACGTCGATCCTGATCCTCGAGAACTGGGCTCGCTTGCTCCGCTACGATCATGCCGGCGTTGTGGTTTCTGAGCGCTTCGACTGGCGTGCTAATGACGGCGAGCTTCTGGCCGAGTTCCTCTCCCGTCTCGAGCATGGCACACCTCAGGAGGAGGGCATCGACGACTCTGTTGGAGATCTCTCCGTCTTCGGCGGTGAGGACTCGGACGTCGTCAAGGACGCGCGCAAGGCGATGCAGGAGTTCTCGGACGGCATGATCGCCGTGCCCATCACCGACGATGCCCCGTTGCGCTCTGTTGAATGTTGGGACGACAGCCAGCTCGGCGACGATGGTATGCCAAAGTCGCGGACGCTCATCGCTACACAGCCCTTGGGGCTCAACTTCTCCATCGTCGGTCGTTACACCGTCAGCTTCATCGGCTACGACGTCGAGAAGCATTGCGCGTACTGGGTCAAGGACTCCTGGCCGATCAACGACCCCGAGTTCACGAAGGAGGGCAAGATATACAAGCGGCTGGTGGATGCGGGCGTCCCTCATCTCGCTGAAGTCGAATGCGCTGGCGAAGTTCGTTGGAAGGCGAACAAGACCGTGCAGAGGACCCGGACGGACGAGTTCGTCAAGGAGGGTTGGTCGGGCCTGACCGCGAACGTCCACCCGCTCTCCCACTATCGCATCCTCTTCAGGGACATTGGACGGCCGGTCAGCAAGTTCGAGTGTACGCAACAGCTTGTCACGGCTCTTTCGCACGCCGTCAAAGGTCCGTCTATTCTGTCCATAGTAACTGACTTCTCCATCTAACACAACGCTCCATTAGCGCACTCCGTTGCATACGAGAAGGCTCGCGTCTTGCATAGGGACATCTCCCCCAACAACATCTTGATCAAGAGGAACGGGGACGGAATGCTCATTGACTGGGATCTCGCCCTTCTGTACGCCAACCTCCAAAAGGACTTGACTAATCGCAAACCACGTATGTTATGGAGAACAGTGAGTACTGAATGACGTTTGAAACACCATGCACTCGTCTCACCCGTTTACGTAGGGAACTTGGGCATTCCTCTCCGTCGCACTCCTCAGGAAACCGTTCGACCGCACGCATGAGCTCAGCGATGACCTGGAGTCTTTCTTCTGGGTACTCCTCTACGTTGTGCTGCGTTACCGATACAGTCCAGGGAAATGGATCGGGGCAGCGAGCGACGGCGACTTCCAAGCGTACATGCTTACACTCTTCGAGTCCAAATCGATCCGTGCTGACGGAGTTACACTCGGCGGGGACCACAAGTGCAACTTTTTGGCGATGACGCAGGACCACCTCACGACCCCGGAGCTCATGGTCTTGAGGGACGTAGCCAACAAGAACATGCCTCTTCCTCTTCGGCAATTGATCCTCACTCTGCGCGGAGACCTTCGCCAGTTCTATGCTGACGTGCAGGCGGCCGAAGAAGCCGCTGAGATCGCGATCGCTGCAGCTGAGCTTGCTGTGAACGATGCCGATGATGACGACGGAGAAGATGATGACGATGATGATGGCGACGCGCTTCCCGAGCCGCCACGTCCCCCTGTCGCCACGCCGTCACCCGCATTGCCTTCGACAATTCGCACGATCCCTACCCGTTTCGACACATCCGAGTACCTCCTCGCGCGCTTTGACGAGGCCGCTGCAGCCAAATGGCCGCGTCGCAAGGAACCGGATTCGTCCCTCGACCGCTTCCCCTTCATCCACCTTCCCCCGCAGACCCGCCAAAGTCTTCAGGAAAAGTCAGAACCGGTTCACCCTACGCGCAGTGACCAACCCCAGCAGAGACGTGCACATGACCCGTCCAACGACTTGCGCGTCCGGCCTACTCGCGAACAGGCGGCGGAAGACGCGAAGGCGCGCGCAGGAGGCGATTACTATACCCTTCCATTGCCTGGGCGCTCGGAGTCGCCTCGCGGGCAGAAGCGGACGCGTGAGAGCGCGCTTGAGTCCATCCCCGAAGACGGAGAGAGGGAGGCCAAGATGGCCAAGTACGAGATGCAGACGATTACTCTAAAGCGTCAAGACGCTGGGCCACCCAATGAGGTCTTCGTCCGAGACGCCGAAGATAACATCGTCAAGGACGCAGAGGGGCGATCGAAGAAGACCGAGGCCTGGAGTGCGCCGGGGCTCACTAGATTCTTATAGTATACACGCATGCTTTGCACTTTGTACCTAGCCTGACTTGTTGATTATCTGACATGTACTGTGATACTTCTTGCTTCAACTTGGCTGTTGTTTATCTCTGATGTGTGAGGGAACCTTCTCTTCGTATACTTCTGAGCGCAGGTATGCGTCGCGTTCCGCTTCACGCTCTTAAGCCTTGACTAGCTTGACTCCCGAATACATGTCTATACGAATGAATGCGGCTCGAAGGCAGGTACTGCGCTAACATTGTCGGATGCTTGCAAGCGCGTCGGAGTTGAGTATCAGAATGTCTCAGCTCACGCTCTAGCAGAGCGAACGGACAACCAAGAACACGATACCTGCATCGCCATAAGTAATTAAGTACTTCAACAAGCCAGTCAACGTTCGAGTTCACCAGTAAGATAACACACTTCTCCCCTCCCCATCATCTACATCTACGCCTTCACCGAAAACGCCTCCTCAAGGAACATCTCGATCTCCTTCTTATGCTGCGCCTTGCTTCCCGTCGCCACACTGCTCGTCGGGCCACGTCCAGCATAAAGCGGGTACTTCCCCTTATGATGCTCGCTCTCCCGTCCCGCCGTATAAATCCTCGGCCCAACATAGCTCCACGCGCCATTATTCATCGGCTCCTCCTGGCACCACAGCAGGTCCGCATTCGGGTACGCGTCGAGCGCGGGCGTGACCATGTCGTACGGGAACGGAGAGAGCTGCTCGACGCGCGAGATGGCGATGTCCTTGATCCCGCGCGCCTCGCGCTCGGCGAGGAGCGTGTAGTAGACCTGGCCGGAGCAGAGGATGTGGCGCTTGATCTGCGCGGGCTCGACGAGCTCTTGCGTCTCGGGGATGAAGCGCTGGAAGGAGGTGCCTTCTGTCATGTCGGTGAGGGGAGACTTGACGAGCGGGTGGCGGAGGAGGGATTTGGAGAAGAAGTTGATGAGCGGCTTGCGGAAGTCGCGGTGGATCTGGCGACGGAGGACGTGGAACTGTACGATGGGTAGTGGTCAGTATCGGCTACGATGAGCGTATTGAGTTGAGCACGTACGTAGTTAGCCGGCGTCGTCGCGTACACGATCTGCATATTGCAGTCCTGGTGCTGCCTCTCGATCTTCTCCGGCGTGGGGTACACATTCGGATGATCGTCACAGAGCTGCAAGAACCGCTCGATACGTCCACTTGAATGCTCCGGACCCTGCCCATCATAACCATGGGGCAAGCTCATAACCAGCCCCGTCCTCTGCAACCACTTCCTCTCGCCCGCCGCAATAAACTGATCAATCACCACCTGCGCATTGTTCGCAAAATCACCGAACTGCGCCTCCCAGATGGCAAGGGAGTCCGGGCTGACGAGCGAGTACCCGAGCTCGAAGCCGAGCACGCCGAACTCGGACAAGCTCGAGTTGCACACGACGAACTTGGCCTGGTCGCCGCCGAGGTTGTTGAGCGGGACGAACTGCCCCTCGTTGTTCTGATCGTGCAGGACCGCATGGCGCTGGGAGAACGTCCCACGCTCGACGTCCTGGCCCGACACACGCACGTGCTTCTTCTCGAGCAGGAGCGAGCCGAACGCGAGCGCCTCGGCGGTGGACCAGTCGATGCCCTCGCCGGCCTCGACAGTCTTGCCGCGGTTGCCGAGGATACGGCTGAGGTTGCGGTGAACAGTGAAGCCCTGCGGCGCGCCGGCGATCGTCTTGCCGACGTGCTTGAGCGTATCGGGCTCAACACCCGTCGGACGCGTCGGGAGCGTCTCCTCAGCGAGCTTCTTCGGGCTAGGGAATCCAGGCCACGCAGCCGAAAGCCATTCCTTGCTCGTCGGCACGTAATCCTTCGCTCCAGCCGCGGCGTTCTCGAGCATACTCCACACCCACTTCTTATGCTCGTCGATATCCTTCTGCGTGAAGGTGCCACGGTCGACGAGGAACTTCGAGTACTTCGTCAGCGGCGTCGGCTGCTTCTCAATGGCCTGGTACATCCTCGGCTGCGTGAAGCTCGGCTGGTCCGTCTCGTTGTGTCCGTAGCGACGGTAGCACACGATATCGATGACGACGTCCTTCTTGAACTTGGCGCGGTAGTCCGCCGCGAGCTGGCACACGAACGTGACGGCCTCGACGTTGTCGCCGTTGACGTGCAAGATCGGCGCGTCGATGGACTTGGCGATGTCGGACGGGTACGGCGTCGAGCGCGCGAAACGCGGGTCGGTCGTGAACCCGATCTGGTTGTTCACGATGAGGTGGATCGTGCCTCCGGTGCCGTAGGACGGGAGGTTGTGGAAGCCCATCGTCTCGTAGACGACGCCCTGGCCGGCGAACGCCGCGTCACCGTGCAAGAGCACGCCCATAGCAGTCGTATGCGCCTGCTCGTCGCCCTCGAAGTGCTGGATAGCGCGCGTCTTGCCGAGCACGATCGGGTCCTCGGCCTCAAGATGCGACGGGTTCGCCACGAGCGAAAGCGAGACCTTCTTCCCGCTGGGCGTCGGGCGCACGTAATTCGCACCAAGATGGTACTTGACATCTCCAGCGGGATCGTCGTCCGAGCCAGCGCCAGCGAACTCGTTGAGAATAGCCTCGATCGGCTTGCGAATGACGTTCGCGAGCACGTTGAGACGACCGCGGTGAGGCATGCCCATAGTAACGTGGCGGATGCCGTGGTCGACCGAACGGTCGATGAGCGCCTTCATACCGGGGATGAGCGACTCGCAGCCCTCGAGACCGAAGCGCTTCTCGTTCGGGTACTTCGACGCGATGAATTTCTCGAACGACTCGGACCAGATGAGGCGGTCGAGGATCATGCGCTTCTCGTCGGTCGTGTAGTTCCACGGCTTGGGCGTCTCGACGCGCGAGCGGATCCAGTCGCACTCTTCCTTGTCGGGAATATGGATGTACTGAATCCCAACGTGACCGCCTGCCAATCATTTTGATTAGCGCTTCCCTCAACATCAGTGCATCTGAAACATGAACTACGCACAGTACATGCGCTGGAGCGTCTTGATGATCTCGCCCAGCTTCATAGTCTTGCGGTCGTCCGTCGCGAAATGCGGCAAAATACCCGGACCAAGCGTGATCTCCTTGCTCAAGTCGCGCTCAGAGAAGCCATAGTGCGAGAGCTCGAGCTCGGGCGGGTGCGAGCTGCTCAGGTCGGGGTCCATAATCCCGAGCGGGTCAAGCTCGGCGACGTGGTGTCCGCGGACCTGGTACGCGCGGACGAGCAGCTGGACCTAAATTCCCAAAAAAACGTCAACCTCCATATTTCTCCATTATATGCACATTGCACACAAACCTTGAGATGGTCGTCGAGCTGCGTTCCGCCCTCAGCGAACAAACTCGGCAGTCCGCCTCCCCCAGGCGCAAGTTCAGCACCAGCAGGCGGCGCCGCAAACGCGCCAGCGCCCAGGCCCTTATCGAGGCCCTTAAAATACGCGTCCCAGGAAACATGCACGCTCTTCGGGTCCTCCTTCCAAGCGCGGAACATCTCCTCGGCGTAGTACGCGTTGGTGCCATTCGCGAAGCGGTCCTGCGCGTTGGCCGTCGCGAGCGTTCGCACGGCCTGGCGGTAGGGAAGTCGGCGGACCTGCCTCGACAACATGGTGGTGGTGGTTACTGGTAAAGGTGAAGGGAGACAGGACAGCGCATGAACGCGACGGGGTCACCAGGCGCGCCTCCCCGGGTTCCGGCACACCACGAGCCAATCCCGGCAAACGGTTACATCACCCATCGCTCGACTTTACCCCGCCACCGCCGACCGAGGCACCGAGAGCCCGAACGCTGCTGAAAATAATGCCGTCCACTCGCAGTTCGGCTTTCGGTAATTCACGCAGTATGGGAGTGCAGGAAATCGGCATCGATTCCAAAACTATATGCGGAGACACATGGCTACGTGGGTGTTGATGTTATACGACGACAAAACATGAGACACGTGAAAGAGTAAGACTAGGGCTATGGGCAGCGAGCTATAGTTATACACAAACAGAACAAACAGAGACCGGAAAGCAACGGTATATATCTACGTGGCGGCAGCAGCGGCCGGAGCAGTCGCGGGAGCAGCAGCAGCAGACGCGTTGTTGCCCGTGTAATCCTGTTGCTTGCCGTCAGTGACAGGAACGAGGCGGAGAACAGCCAAGACTGACCTCCATCTCGGCGTCGAGATCCTCGGCCGTCTTCTTGACGCGCTCCGGGCGGCGTCCACCGCGCCCACCACGTCCACGGCCGCGCGGGCCAGAGCCATTACGCCTGGCACTATAATACTTTGGTCAGCGCCCAGTCTGTGCGATGAAGTAATGATAGAGCCTACCCGTTGTTCGCGGGAGCAGCGGCCTCAGCAGGCGCGGGTGCAGGTGCGACACGCGCCGCAAGAGAGGGCGCAGCGGGCTGGATCGCAGTCGGGTCGATGATAACCTCGATACGCATGGCGCGTTCTGTTCATTGGCGGAGCGAGAATAGGTGCGAAAGGGGAGAGAGCGAGCGGTCAGTTCCATCTTCACGGATGCGGGCACGAGTCAGACGAAGAAAAGGGCGAAGCGTATCGAGACGAAGAGCGAGCCACGAGCTCGGGACTTGAAGGCTTGTGGTGTACGCATCTGTACCGGCGCCGTCGTATCTTGAAACTTATCCGCCGACCGTCTTCCGAAGAACCATACCGCCTCTGGCATCCCGGCGAGATCCACGTCGTTCGCTCTGGGCAATACATCTCTTGCGTATGCCCATTGCCCGAAGTCCGGGCCGGCTACCAAAAGCCGGTCCATCCTAAACAGCACCGTCGAGAGGCCGCGCTCTGAGCGGGTCATCTTCGACTAGCCCTCGAGGCAGGCGCGAGGTCGGCCGCAGGGGTGATCAATCCCGTGCCATCATCCTCGTCGCGACCTGCCAAGCCTAGCGAAAGCTAGGGAAAGGGCCGTGCGTCGTCTCGGTTCGCTCCAGTCGTCTTCTTGACCTTGACAGACTCGGAGCGTCGCGCCTCGACCGCGTCGCACATCCAGCGCGCTCTGAGTGACAGCGAGCGCGTGTGTACCAACAGCAGGAGGGTCATGACCAGCTCGGGGTCAGAGGACAGACGAGAGAACCGATCTGACAGCTTCCAGCTGCTTGCGAAGCCCTCAGCTGCCAGACCAGAATTGACGTATCCACCGGGAGCAGGCGCGCTATGGGGTCGAATCCGTCAAGTCGTAAGTCAAGCACCGTGTGCTTCGGGCGGAGCCGCAAGCGTGAGAGCCTAGGACACCGCCAGCTCACGAGGGTTCATCGCCGAGCAACCCTCAGGGTCAAAGGCTGTACCGCCTCTGCACATTCGTGGAGTAGATGCGTCGCACGCTCACGAGGCGTGCCCGCGACGCCTGAGCCGTCGCACTTGCCAGTCCGTATCGCAGTACGTTGAGCCGAAGCCAAAAGGGGGGGTTGAAGCGAGGGAGGAGAGGGATACTAACTGCCATCGATCAGGCGGTTGTTGTACTGCTCGTACGCCTTGCGCCCATCGCCGCGGCGGGCGAACCGTACAAACGCGACGCCCTTGCTGCGTCCCTGCGCGTCGTGGTGGAGGTTGACTTCCTTGCAGGTTCCCACGGTCTGGTCGAAGAGCTCCTAAAGATGCGATAATATCTCAGTATTATTGCCTTTGTGAGGGGAAGTCAGATGAAGACAAACCTTGATCTGAGCCTCGCTGACGTCCTGGGGAAGGTTGGAGACCATAATCTTCTCGGCGCTGGGCGTCTTGACCGCCGGGCCGGTCGGGGGAGCGTTGTTGTTGGCGATACGCGCGCGGGTGGCAGGGGCGGCCGCGGGCTGGGTGTTACCGAGGATCTGGTTGCGGCCAGTGAGCGAACGACGGGCGCTGCCGCGACGGCCACCCTTGGGGCGCTGGTTCTGCATAACGATCTGCGGATGCTGCGTCAGACTCCTTTGTTCCCATTTTCACCATTTTCTCGAGGGAAGTGTACTCACGTCGTCGAGGGACTTGTCCATTGCTGCTGGTGAGGTCGTTGAGGTGGATGGAGGACTGGAAACGGGCGAGTTGGTGGCCTGGTGGTGAGGGGGAAAGACAAGGACGAGCTGGCGCGGCGCGTGTTTGGATGGCGCGCGTTGCTTGTTTGCGCTTATTTGTGGTGGTGTCACGTCACCTTTTCTCGTTCGGCGGCCTTTGTCCTCGACGTCGACGCTGAGCTGCTGGATGGTCGATCATTGAGCTGGCACGACGTATCCCTGATTTTATCCCTTTGAGTGCGAGTGCCACTTCATACACGCAGATCGAAATGGAAACACAACAACCCATCTGTAACAGTGCCAATCGGGAAACGCGCGTCGGGACACGTTCCACTCTGCAGTCGGACTCGGATGCGTCGTCTTCTGAATAGCGCAGTCGCATCGAGAGCAGCACAACGCTTCACGCTAAACCGCGCAGAGCTTTGTGCCTTTGTGCATGCGCCAATGACTTTAGCTGTGCCGCCGACTTCACCGATCCTCGTCGGTACACAACACCGTTTCATATGGGCGCCGGCGCAAGGCAACCTTTGTCAAAGTACTGGACTCCTGCCTTCTTTCTGCCTCATGCTCTTCTTTGGGAGCAGCCATTTGGACCTCGAGCATTACCTTTTGTACGTCTCGGAGCACGAACGTCGCCGATCGATGCTGCCTGAATCGGACTGCTCGACCCTTCAGCCAGCCGTCCAGGTCGCTACACGCCTCGGCTCAGACCGGCCCAGTTCCTATTGGACTTCTTCCATGTAGACCTGTACTAGTGGATAACCTTCGACGGGTTGTACGGTCATAATCGAACAAAGCCTACACCTGCGCTCGAATCCGAGTCAATGCCTCCCCTACAATCGACATGGACAATACTCGCCCTCCTCGGCGTATAAATTGAGCTCACGAAGAGTCTCTATCATCTCATCCTGCTCAGTCCCTCGCAGAATGCCTTCACGCAGAACTCACACAGCCCACGCCGAAAGCAACGCGAGCGATATCTCAGGTTGGGCCTACCCTCGCTCGATCCGCGCTCCCTCGGGTGCTCCCGGCACGCCACTCCCCCGCGACCACCATCTATGCCACGCCCAAATCGTACGCAAACTAGAGAAAGCCAGGAAGGAGCAGGAGCGGGCGCAGCGTCACTCGGAGGGTCGCGAGCGGCGTCACAACGGAGGCTTCCCCGTCATCCCGAGCTCAAGCTCGAGCACTCTGCTCGACCCTCGTGGCCGTGAGACTGCGAACGCACATTCGGACGATACGCTCGTGGCCGGCATGAGCCAGCACTCGTTGAACTCGTCTCCAGCGTACCAACGCCTGTATAGCCACGCAAGCGCGTCACGCTACGGAGAGTCTCATCACCACTCGACACCGCGTTCAACTCTCACTTCTGAGACGTACGCGAGCTCTTTCAGCCTGACGCTTGTGCCCCATCACCAAGCCAACGCACAATTGCCGCTTCATCATGCATCGTACCCGCACCTTTGGACACACTCAGGATCGGGTACTGTGTCCTCACCACCAGGCAGAGCCAACTCTGCGAATCAGGACTATGGATACACGCTCGAGTATATCAATGGCCAGTGGTATCCCGTACCGAGAACGAGCGCGTCGGTATCGCGGTTACACAAGCGATAGAATGTGAGGGCTCACTGATTGGGCCGCAGCGATTGCAGTGATGTTACAAGTCATGTAGTAGACTCATTCACAGTATGACGATGATATGTTGAAAAGGGTTTATGAGAAGTTTAGGGCCTTCATGGATGGCAGAAGGGTGCCTTTCAACGACTGATGCCCAGGTATACCCAGAGAAAGAATGAGAAAAGCTCGAATGCCAAGTGCTGCGCGCGTCGAACGGACGCGACTCGAACGTGAATCGCTGCTGCCTCGGGCTGGCCTCGGGTATTCTTCCCTACTACGCGGCACCCGAGCCAGCATGCACTCTATCCTTATCAACACCAGCTTGCATCTACCGCCAGCCCCAGCGTACGACCCAATCTCCGCTCGATGTCGGATGTTGTCGTGATGGACCGCGGGAATAGGTGGGGGCAAAAGGCCGCCCGCGTCGCGCCGGCGCCCAAGCCGCCGCGCGCGCGATGTTGCCTCAAACCACCATCATCGATATCGTTTCTGCCTCAACATTCCCCACGCCGCGCCTTGAAATGAAAAACCCTATGACAGCTCTGAGGTCTCGCCATACGGTGTTGGAGCTTCTTCTGGTCTACCATCGCCAAGGTCTCTCTTGATGCTACCGTATTTGGTCCATGCCGTGCTCGGCATCGCCGCAGTGAAACGAGGACGAGCTGTAAGATGAGCGTATCTCAGAAAGATTGGTATCTCAGCCGGTGTTGATAGAGACAGCTAGCTGTGGATAGGTGTATGACATATGAACGGCTGTGGTATGTGTATGATCGTTGTGGAAGCCCACTGCGGAGTTCCATGCGAGAGCGGCTTGAGCTGTGGGCTACCCGCGCCTCGAAGATAACGATGAGACGATAATCTATCATCGCGCTGACGTGGAGTCGCTCGGCAGTGAGTGGGTGTCTACTCTTATTGAGCTCGCCAGGGACGTGCCTCTTGATCTGTCTCTTTGGTCCGACTGCACTAACTTCTTGTGTATGTCCTAGGTGCACTCACTCGCTCACGCATCGGAAACCTCATCTGCTTCCTCTCCGTATGCTGCGTGCAAGACAGTGCGGGCATACGATGTCTCGCTTTAGAGATAAGTCAGGCATTCCGAAGTTGAACAGCGCCTGACACCTTTGCTTAGACAGGTACAACGCGTATCATTCTTCCTGGCGCAACCCAGTACTTAGTTTGGCGACCCCTGACGACAACTGTCGTGTACCTTCATCTTACAACGCGCCATGCCTGCGCTCAGGCGTCCGATCTGCAGCCCCGAAACCTCCCCAATCAAACACCGATGCTTCTGGCGGACATCCTCGCATCTTCCTTCCCGATGCATTAACCCTATCGTGGTATCTATGGATCTGCGGGACCTTGTTCGTACTACACATGTCACGAGAGGGACTTCATACATCGCGACTCTGAGCCACGATGCGCGTCAATCCGTACCGACCTCCGGTCTTCACTCCCTTTTGCTCATACAATTGCGGGTTTTCGAGCCCCGAGGCGACCCAATGTCTTGCTAGCTTATAACAGATGCGAGCCTCATGCTCTGAGCAGCCAGGCCTCGCAAACATGCCCTCGCCTGTCTTCGCCTATCCTCTGTTCGCCGTCGCTTGTATCCTCAGCTCTGCTTTACTATTATGCGTGCTCACAACGAGCTTCATCCGACAGCGCTGGAACCCTGGTGTCTTCTTCCTGTGCTTCTGGTTATTCTGGGGCAACCTCACCTACGGAGTCAATGGAGTTCTATGGTCTGACAATGCCGACGTCAAAGCATTCATCTACTGCGATATAGGCAGGTCATCCCCACTTGCTCACCATGTCGCATGCTCACCCTGGTGTACTCAGTCACACGCTTGCAGATAATCGTCAATGTTGTCAAGCCCATGGCGACTCTCATCATCGTTCGCCGACTGTACAAGATCGCCCATGTCCGCTCGGTGGACCCGCGTAACGTGCGGCATCCCTCATTCTTACTATGAACCTCTCGCTGATCTACATCAGCGACGCGTGGATCTGCTCGTGGAGTGTACGTTGGGTCTGATACTGCCAGCTCTGATAGCTGGGCCACTGTGTGCGTGTCTGGCGCAAGAGTCCTTGTGGCTGATACTCACGTTGTGGGCAGACTATATCAACGAGGGTGCTCGCTTTCAAGTCCTCGGCGGCTTTGGCTGCGCATCCGTTCAGTACCCGTCGATCTTGCCCATTCTTACCATATCCCTCTATACCATCGTCCCTCCTTTGCTCTCAGTCGTGCTTTACTACCGTGCGTCTTGAAGCTCTGTCTTGATTGGCATCATTACTGAATCACTCTATAGCTCGGATGATCCTGGTCTTCTACCGTCAGTACAGAGAGATCAACGAGTTCCTACAGAGCAATGACAGTTCGATCACGCGCACGAACTATATCCGCATTCTTGCGCTAGCCAGTATCGATGTTCTCGTAACACTCCCCTTGGGCGCCATCAGCCTTGCGCTCTTCCTAATCCCGGCGACGAGAAACGACGGTGACATCGAGGCTTCCAACATCACCTTCTATCCCGGATGGCACTTCCTACATACCAATTGGGGTCCGACCGGGAGCACATACGACGAGATCAAGGCCGCAGGAAATCTCAGACTGCAGCAGCTTTACTTCTCGTATTGGACTGGACCATTGTTGGCCTTTGTGATCTTTGGCCTCTTCGGCTTGACGCCCGACGCTCGTGCAACTTACGGACAGCTCGTCGGCGCACTGATGAGGTTCTTGCGGATGAGGTCAACCGGTTCTCTTCAAGCACCTGTCTCCTCCAGTCCTCTGAACTTCCGCGTCAACCATCAAGTGTGCAACATCGAGTTGCATGGCATAGGAGGGTATGACTCCGGCCGAATAGCTCCTCACCTGCCGTTTCTCATCATACCGTCTACAGGACAAGCACAACCTCTCGCGATGACATTGTCGTTGACGTTGTGTTGACGATGGACCACAGAGATGAGGAAATGGAATGCAATATAGCCGTAGAGCGAGTAGACGTTCCTTGTGTGACATCAAACTCGGATGCCGATGGGTACGTCACGCAGCTCATTGACGAAGGTTTGCTTCGCATACTCAAGCTAATCTGTTATCAGGGCTCTAGAACGGGTATGATCCAACGCCGCTTGCAAAACATGGAAACATTGGGCATCTGCGGCGCCCGAGCGTCGTCAATCTTGCTCAACCTGAGTGCTTGCGCGCACGGCATACTCTGCAGTCGATTGCGAGAGTTGCGTTGGTGTGAAAAGCTCCAGGTGTGTCCATGGTAGAACCTACTGCCGGAAAACCCAGGATTTCCTTGTCAGTCGTGACAACGCGTAGTCAGGTCTTGCCAGGCCTGATAAGAGATGGGGCCTGATAAC